TTTTTTTTTTCAAATAACCAAATACCTGGACTCTTGGTAGATGTTGGTGATAATGAAGCACTAGTCGGCACACCAGTACGTCCTAGAAAAACAAGGAAGGAAGGAAGGAAGGAAGGAAGGAAGGGAGGGAGGGAGGCAGAAAGAAAGAGAGGAAGAAATAAAGAGAGAAAGAAAGACATTCATAATTACCAGTCACAATCAGCATAACTTTACTAGTTTCACTTGCTTCGAGTAGTGAGTTCAATGTACATCCATACGTGCCACTATCAGCAACCCTTACATCAGAGATCACTAGTGTAGCTCTTGCTTCTTTTCTTATACGTGTGGGATTTAGAAATTGTGCTGGGCATTCGGGACTTATTTTCCAATTCCATCCATCGAACTGGTCTTCGTATGCAATGGGCAATGGTGTATTCCTTGTCATCGTAAAAACTCCACGAGGGAGAGTGGCTATGAAACTCGAAGTCCCTGTCATCCACAGTGTAGTCCCACACAAACCGAACAGTTTCTCCAGCAATAACAGAAGTATTTCGAGGAAATTGGGTGAATCGTAACGCCCCGTCTGTAAAAGTTATAAATTAAAATAGTTTTATTTTTCGACCCGTGTTTTCTATCGACATTTCCATCAGAATAAAATACAAATTCTACCTTAGAAATGTAGCCATGCTCGTTGATATAACAAAAGGAAAAAATGATAAACCTTTGGTTGCATAAAACCAAAATGGCGGTCATAAAAATCGTGCAAAACAATATAGTCTAATGCTCACAAGGAGTTTTAAATAATAAATATTTAATCTGAATGGACCAAATCCACTTGGGCGTGATATTTTGCCATTTCAGCCCACGTGTCCTTCTCTTGAGAATAAGATTCTTTGTTTGAGTTGTATCTATATTTGTGTGTCTTCTCATGCACAACCGTTAAACAAAGAAATGATACTCTAGGGAATGATACGTGGTCTAAAATGGGAAAACAGTGGATTAGGCTTTGATTACGTTTATTGAGCTGCTTTGAATTCCCTTGAACATTTTTCCAAGTATAAGATATAGGGCAGAAGAACATGAATATTGATGACCGCAAGCAGATAATCTTTTCTCAAGAGAATGACACGCGTGGTCTGAATTAGGAAACCATTTTACACCACGAAATTGATAGTCTTTAGACTCTTACATCCATGGTTTTCTTTTGTGTCAGCGAATGGTCTACAAGCCTTTGATATTTCATATTCGGCTATCGGGCTATTGACTCGTAGAACATTCGGGCGTTATATAAAGCTGGTTGCAGTAGATTTTATAGCCATTGTTTTCTTTTGTGTCTATTTGACTATTACACATTAAGAGAGAATTCTTTTCGTTTTCAAGCGGTGAGCGCCAAAAACTATTTTCTTGAAGGAAGGCTATTGTACAAGGTTAAAATCCTGCTATTCAAAAAGTTTAGCTTGTTTGGAAGTGGAGATGACCGAAGAAAGTGCGATGAAATTGTTAACCCAAAGCAAAAATTTGAATCGAAAATGAGGTTTAGGCCTTCATTTGCTTATTTACCATATATTTTCTATAAAAAAAGCCTGACAAAGCAACATTCTAACACAAATGCAACAAAACATCTTTGTACAATCGAAAATACCGCTTCAAACAAGCATTCTATCATAGTACATCAGTTTCTAACTKKTWAAAAAMRGKTTT